CCCAGAGTCGTTCGTGACCGGACTTAACTGTCAGAGGCCCTTTACCTTTACATTTAAGGATAAGCAGGACATTCTGTGATTGAATCAGAAACCATGATGGCTTCTGTAAATCTGGGGCTGTCCCTCAAAAATAGGGACATTTGGAGGGTCTGCTGTATGAGTGAGGGCTTCATTCATATAATTAATAAGTGCATGGAGGCAGAATTTGGGGGCCTGCCATGTTCTCCTTTTATGTGCTGATTTCAGCAAGTGGGCTGCCCTGAAGAATACAGATAACCATTTGTTGTTGTTGTTTAGTCTTTTAGTCGTGTCCGACTCTTCGTGACCCCATGGACCAGAGCACGCCAGGCACTCCTGTCTTCCACTGCCTCCCGCAGTTTGGTCAGACTCATGTTTGTAGCTTTGAGAACACTGTCCAACCATCTCGTCCTCTGTCGTCCCCTTCTCCTTGTGCCCTCCATCTTTCCCAACAACAGGGTCTTTTCCAGGGGGTCTTCCCTTCTCATGAGGTGGCCAAAGTATTGGAGCCTCAGCTTCACGATCTGTCCTTTCAGAGAGCACTCAGGGCTGATTTCCTTAAGAATGGATACGTTTGGTCTTCATGGGACTCTCAAGAGTCTCCTCTAGCACCGTAATTCAAAAGCATCAATTCTTCGGCGATCAGCCTTCTTTATGGTCCAGCTCTCACTTCCATACATCACTACTGGGAAAACTATGGCTTTAACTATACGGACCTTTGTTGGCAAGGTGATGTCTCTGCTCCATGGACAAACTCCATGGACAAAGGCAACAGATAACCATTTAACATGTCATAAATCCCATACCTGCCAAATTGGGTCCTGCATTTCCTGGGCCCTTCTGATAGACCTGCCAGTAGGAGTGGCCCTGTGTTCAGTAGCATGAAATGGGGAATCCCTCTCATGAATTATATTTGAGAGGTTGAGAGGAGTTCCCTACCAGGCAGACTTTGCTCGTGTGCTCAAGACATTGATTCCATAAATCATATTTTGTTGCATTGTGCGAAGTATGAGCAGGCCAGGGCTGAATTGATACTACCCTTGCTGGTACCTTTCCCAGGAAAATCAGAGGCTCACTATGTCAGGTTCCTACTGGAAGACCGGACAAAAGCTAGAACGTTGGCTGCGGCAAAGTTTTTACTGGTGGTTGCAAGAACAAATGAGCCCTATATTCTAAACAAAATGCTTGATTAACCTGGAGGTAGGCTGTATGAACTGTGTATTGATTTGTAATGTTTTGTTGGGTCTATGGACCGTAATAAAGATTGTTGTTGTTGTTGTATATTTGAAGGCTGCTGAAAACACATTTCTTCATGCAGCCTTTTGGTGGAAGACTGCAGGATCTTTGGGCTTATTTTAAACTGCTGCTGAATTGTTTTAATCATGGAACAGGTTTTTGTTTTGTTTTTTGTTATTGGTGTTTGATTTTATTTGTTATTTTATGGTATTGCCAGCAGTCTCATACCCGGCATTGCTCAGGAACTCTTAAGAAACACACACAAAATGTGCAGTTTTGAAAAATTCAGTCTGCCATCTTGATTTAAAATGCTGTCCAGTTGTATCAAAACATAAATGAAACCCTGCTCCATGATCTCAGAAACAATCATGCAAAATTTCTTTATGGCCACATAAGTAGAATGTGCAGAATGTGCAAAAAACTTTCCCAACATATAGTAGATGTGCACTACCCTGAGATCCTTTTGGATGAAAGGCAGTCTGTCAAGCAAGGAAGCAAGCAAGCAAGCAAGCAAGCAAGCAAACAAACAAACAAACAAACAAACAAATGTACAGTGGTACCTCGGGTTAAGTACTTAATTCGTTCCACAGGTCCTTAACCTGAAACTGTTCTTAACCTGAAGCACCACTTTAGCTAATGGGGCCTCCTGCTGCTGCCACGCCGCCGGAGCACGATTTCTGTTATCATCCTAAAGCAAAGTTCTTAATCTGAAGCACTATTTCTGGGTTAGCGGAGTCTGTAACCTGAAGCGTATGTAACCTGAAGCATACGTAACCCGAGGTACCACTGTACTACATTCCAATCATCTGTTTGCAGGTGAGATAAGGCTCACTTCAAGAGGAATATCATAGAGCTGGAAAACACATCAAAAGAATAATAAAAATGATCAAGGGCTCAGAGAAATTTCCCCACAATGATAGATGAATGTAGCTGGTGTTGTGTTTTGTTAGTTTAGGAAATAGCCTACTAAAACAAGCTGGCATGATTAGAGTTTTATGTATATACAGGGTGGTGAATAGCAGATTGTTCTCCCTTTCTCATAAGGCTAAGACACAGGGTCGACCAATGAAGCTGACTTGAAGAAGGTTCAGGACTGACCATAGGAGCTACTTTGTCACACAAGCACTGATTAACTTGCACCATTCCATCTTACTCTACAACAGCAAAGGAGAATGTGTGGCTCTCTAGATTTTGCCCTACTACAACATCCCTGATGTCTAACCATAATGGCTGTAGGTGATGGACATTGGAATCCAACACCATTGTGGGTGATACACCTTCCACATCCACAACAAGATGCAAATGGTAGCCATTGACTTATATGTCTTTAAAAGGAAATCCAACAAAATCATGGAGGACCGGTCTTATCCACAATTACGAAATAAAACATAATTGAGCAGAGTCAACATACCTCGAAATACAAGGAAAGCTTCCTAGACAAACAGTCATACCTCGGGTTACAGACGCTTCAGGTTGCGCGTTTTTGGGTTGTGCACCGTGCTGAACCCGGAAGTACCGGAATGGATTACTTCAAGGTTTTGGCCCTTGCACATATCCAGAAACACTAAATCATGCTTTGCGCATGCGCAGAAGTGCCAAATCGCAATCCTCGCATGCGCAGATGCGGCGCTGCAGGTTGCGAATGCTGCGGGTTGCGAACATGGTTCCCGCACGGATCACGTTCACAACCCAAGCGTCCACTGTATCTGGCTGGCAGCTGGTAAAAACAGAACGTTGGACAAGGCAAAGTAAAATCATCATCACAGGCACCAGTTCCTAAAGGGGCGAGGTGAAACCCTCTTACTCCTAATCTTTTTCACCTTGCGCTCCCTAAGCTAGCCTGATACTGTCAGGTGCAACGAAGGATGTTGTCCCATCAACAGTGTTTGAAGTAAGAGAAGGGCAACCAAGATGATCAAGGGTCTGGAAACCAAACATTATGAGGAGCAGTTGAAGGAGCTGGGGCATGTTTAGTCTGGAAAAGAGGAAACTGAGAGGAGATATGATAGCCATCTTCAAATATCTTAAGGGCTGTCACATGGAGGAGGGAACAAGCTTGTTTTCCCCTGCTTTGGAGATTCTGACTAAATATATGGCAAAAGTTTCTGACAGTAAGAGTTGTTTGACAGTGGAACGGTCTCCCTCAGGAGGCTGTGGATCCTCCTTTCTTGGAGGTTTATAAGCAGAGGTTGGATGGCCATTTGTCATGGATGATTTGGCTGCTATTCCTGCATCAAAGATGACCTATGGGTCCCTTCCAACTCTCCAATTCTATGTCTTGTCATTTTCTGTATGTGGAATGGAGCAGGACTACCATCTTGTCCTTTGCATCCTGCATTAAAATGTTGACCTGGCCCTGGCTGCAGTGGCTGGGCCTTTGAGCAAATCACCAAGGCAATTTCTTGTGTCCTTAAGACAGAGGTGAATACTAGAGACTGGACTAGCACAGCAGTGGAGTTGACATGACTGCAGATTAACAGATACAGCTTAAACAGACTCTAGCCCCTGTAGACATTTTGCAAAGATGTTCATATTTTCCTTTGAAGTGATATTGAGCAGACCATGTATAATGTGTTTCTTCTACAAGCTGGTGCTATCTAGATCAATGAATACACCAGGGGAAGAATTGGTTAGCCTTAGCTGCTTTGCACAAAATTGCTATTTTTTCTCCTTCCCTGAACAGATCTTTCCCTCTGTAACAAGTTGAAAGCATGCTTGAGACATACGCAGCTCCAAATAGACTGACAATGTCACTTTCAGATAAATCAGAATTATGAAACCACCATTTAAAAAGAGTTTAACCTGGTGTATTTCCTTGAAACTAGATTTCCTGCATAAATCATTGGCGAAGGGGCTGTGTCACAAATTTCTCTGTGCTAATGGGGTCTACGAACGATGAAATATTGCTTCATATGGTGTATCAATAAAGGCTATTTGAAAATATAAAGCATTATCACCTCCTTTCTTTGTAATTCTTCAGTAGATGTTTGAAGTCAGATCCCCTTTGGCTTCTGTCCCATATTTTCATTCAGTCCCTTGGTGTCTGTGGCTTTTTTTTTTTTGAAGTGTGCAATTGCTTTTGCCAGCTCTCATGCATTTATGTATATGGATCTTATCAAGGGACTGCAATCCCCTTGTCTTCATCATGATTTGCGTTAATGAAATGTTTCCTCTGAAGATGACAACTTCATAGACTGCATTTTTAAAAAGAACTGATTGGTATGGGACTGAGATGCCTCACCGGCTACTAAGTACTCGAAGAACTCTTGTACTCAAGCCTTCCAGAAGCCTGTCTATCAAGATTCAGATGTGGTGATCAAAAAGCCACAAGGGGATTGCATGGACTCGGCGCCGATGCCTTAAGGAAATCCACAGGAATGTTACAGCTACAGCTACAAACCACTTAAGAGCAAGTCGTTAGTCCATCTAAAATGTCATTGACTTTACTTTGCTGGGGAGCCATGACTGGGGAAAGAAAGAGAGGGAGAGAGAATCCAACTATTGGCTGCCCTTGCTGCTTTCTCATGAGGAGCCTTGCTTGTGTTGTAAAGGATTTCTATAGTTGTCCTCTGGCTTCAGAGGGAAATACTTCACCGGAAAGGAACACGGGAACAGAGTATATTCTGTTTTTGCTGTAAGAGGATTCGTTGGCCACTGCAACAGACACCCAACACAATACAACACCAGCTACCCCATCCAAGGAAGGCAACTGGCACGGAAATTGCACACTCCCAACAAAAAAACACAATATACAGGATTCTTCCAAGATCCTGTAATTAGAATGAGTGCACTTCATATCATTTAATGAAGATCCGTTGGAGGGCAAGCCTGGTGGCAGCTGCCGTGGTAATTCCAGTGTGGTGTAGTGGTTAAGAGCAGTAGTCTCATAATCTGGGGAACTGGGTTCATGTCTCCGCTTCTCCACATGCAGCTGCTGGGTGACCTTGTGTGACACTTCTTCTTTGAAGTCTCTCAGCCTCACTCACTTCACAGAGTGTTTGTTGTGGAGGAGGAAGGGAAAGGAGAATGTTAGCCACTTTGAGACCCCTTACGGTAGTGATAAAGCGGGATATAAAATCCAAACTCCTCCTCCTCCTCTTCTTCTTCTTATTCTTCAGTAGTGTGCATTAAATTTGCTGCAGTCAAGAAAACCTCGTTGTTGGATCTTGGGATCAAGGTGGTGGTCCAGTCGACCATGAGGTGATCTGCCACCTATATCAGCCCCTCAACCTGATAACCATATATTTAAGGAGGAAGACCATGTGAGAGAACTCCACTAGGGATTTTTGAAGAATTTGGCCTTTGTGAATTCCTATATGAACTGCTCTAAGTTGTGGCTCCAGAATTAACAGGCATATCATAACTGGCTTTCACATATTCTTGACTCAAAAAGAAAGACAGAAAAGAAAGCATTTTAAAATATGCATTTTGAAGGAAATGCAGTTTAAGTGCCCATTTTCATGCAAATTATGCAGAAAATTCGGATTATCAGAGAGATTGGATTTGCAAATAAACACATGGGAACCTGTCTAATGATTCATCCATTTTGAAAATGGAGAGGTGCTGGTGTGGGGGAAATGATGTTTTCTCTCTCGTATCTTGCAATGGTATATACCTTCTTTCCTGAATATAGGGATTTAAAGTTGCATCAAAAGCAGCATTATTTCATGATTCCATCAGCACTAGGATTTTTGGTTGTGCAGCACCACTTTATTTATTCCATTTATATACAGTAATAATAATAATAATAATAATAATAATAATAATAATAATAATATATCCCGCCCTCCCCAGCCGAGGCCGGGCTCAGGGCGGCTAACAACAATAAAATATTACAACATTCTAAAATCATTTATTTAAAAAATTACTTCAAATCAAATTGATGGCAGCCATTGGGCTAGAGTTCTGTGAAGATTGCCAAAGGAGGGAGTCCGGCTGTGCTCTGGCCAAAGGCCTGGTGGAACAGCTCTGTTTTGCAGGCCCTGCAGAAAGATGTCAAGTCCCGCAGGGCCCTAGTCTCTTGTGACAGAGCGTTCCACCAGATCGGATCTGTGAGGTTGTCTTGAAGTGTTCCGACGTCGCTTCCAGGTCCTCCGTCTTGTTGCGCAGGTGGTCCAGGTTCTCTCCCCTTGCCAGCATACGCTCCATGTTCTGCATCATGATGTTCTTGACACCCTCCACCTCATTCTGGAGGTTCTTCACCTTGTCGCTTGCCATCCCGGGGGCACTTCCACCCTCCATGAGCCCGTTGAGTGGGTTCCCCAAGCAGGCGCTTCCCGGTCCTCGGCGAGCTCCCCAAAACTTCCTGCTTCTCTCTCACTCCCAACCGGCGGCCGCCTTTCCCTCCAAGGAGCCCTCTGCTCTCCATTTTATCCTTACAACAGCTCTATGAGGTCGGTCAAGCATAGGCAAACTCGGCCCTCCAGATGTTTTGGGACTACAACTCCCATGATCCCTAGCTAACAGGACCAGTGGTCAGGGATGGTGGGAATTGTAGTCCCAAAACATCTGGAGGGCCGTGTTTGCCTATGCTTGCGGTAGATTAAGCTAAGAGACAGTGATTAGCCCAAAGTCACCCACTGAGCTTCATGGGTAGGGATTTGAACTCTGGTTTCCTGGGTCATCACACAACATTGCCTCCCCTCCCTACTGCCCCATGAATTACTAAATCCTTGCACTGACAGAATGCATTAGTTGGATACTGCCCTTACTTCAGAGTAGGCATGCGGGTGAACTGTATTATTAGTAACATGATTGTCAGGTGACTAATATTACTGCTATAGCTTGGGACACTTGCCATGCTGAAGCTGGTTTTTGGCAGCAATGACAGCAGCATAATAACATCAGAATCAGGACAGCTAAAAAGCTTTCCTGAATCTCACTTGCCTTTTCTGTGCTCCCCTATCAATGTCTCATCCAAAGCCGCTCTTAGCTTGGAAGGCCCAGAGGGGCTCATATTGGATAGTTTTAATAGAAAAAACAAGAGTAAACAGACGAAGGAATTATCTGAAGTGCAATTTAATCAAAACTTTGGTGGGAAGCTTATTATAGCTGTAAATCAGTTTGTGTAAATCAGCCCACATGATATAAAAGAAGATATTTGTCTTTCAACCGAGCAGCTGAATGTATTGATATTATTTTACATTTTAATAAAAAAAGTTAATATATAGCTGCTATTAATTTCAGCAGTTTGATTATGGCAATAACATACAGAGTGAAGCAAGGTGCAGTAAATTATCTGGAGAGTCAATAATCAGAGCTTATAATGGCAGTCCGAATTTGGGGAGGAGGCACATCTTATTGGCAAACCCCATCTTAGAAGCTTTTAACATTATCTAGACTTTCTTTTGGTTCAATTCGAAGTAGAGTCTCAGTTGTTGAGTATTTGTACAATAGTTGCAGTATCAGCCTAAGAACAGGAAGTCTAAGCATGTGACAGATTGGATTGGAATGGCAGAATTCCAATTGGACCAAGCTAATTGAGAAATCCATTAGTGTGGATTATAGCAAAGAAGATCAAGGTATACTGTACCCATCACTGGACTAGCTAGGGAAATATGGGTGGGTCGTGGAATCTGATGAGACAAAACAATAAAAACGAAAAACAGTTCATGGCTATAAGTAGAGTTAGAGGTAAGGAGAAGAGGAAAAAATGGAGAAGGTGAGGCAAGGAAAAGATGAGACAGAAAAACATTTGAGAATCCAGAATGTGAGAGTAATGGGAAAACAGGAAGAGATAAGAACTACAGTGGTGCCTCGCAAGACGAAATTAATCCGTTCCGCGAGAGTCTTCGTCTAGCGGTTTTTACGTCTTGCGAAGCAAGCCCATTGACGGATTAGCGCTATTAGCGCTATTAGCGGTTTAGCGGCTATTAAAGGCTTAAAGGCTTAGGGGATTAGCTGCTAAAAGGCTATTAAAGGCTATTAAAGGCTTAGCAGATTAGATAAAGGGGGGGGAAAGCGGAAAAAAAATCTCAAGACTCGCAAGACATTTTCGTCTTGCGAAGCAAGCCCATAGGGGAATTCGTCCTGCGAAGCAACTCCAAAACGGAAAACCCTTTCGTCTAGCGGTTTTTCCGTCTTGCGAGGCATTCGTCTTGCGGGGCACCACTGTACCTATGGTGGACTGACAATGAGCACTCACACTTTACATTGTGGGTGCCCTTTGCGGGTTCACGTGTGGTGCTACAGTTCCCAGGGAGCTTGCTGGCAAACATGGGCTGGCTTGCCTCTCAGTGTTAATTTTGGAGGTTCACGCCCAGCCTCAGTAATCAAGTTTCTTGCTGGGAGGTGGGGCCAGCCCCATTAATGCTGTATTGTTTTTAACACTCGATTGGGAGCCTTGCAGAGTGGCTGGGGAAGCTCAGCCAGATGGGTGGGGTATAAATACTATATTATTATTATTATTAAATAGGGTTGGAGCCGACAATAGCCAAGCAGTCGGCTCTGGAGTTTCACCCTCCCTACCCTCCCTTTGTTTAATGTTTTCTTGTTTGCAGGTTAACTTTTTCTTTCTGTTTAGTGGGTGCTGCTATAGTCTTTGGCTGGTTGCTGTTGAAGGAACAGGAAGAAATTTTCCTGCATTGGCAGGTTTGTCTTCCCTGTAGCAATACGTCACAACGTTATGGCCTTGGGTGGAATCCTTTAGTCTTTTCTTCCCTATATTGGTGTGTGTGAAGTGGTGACTCACCCCCCTGCGGCGGCGATTCCAGGGTCCCCCTCTTTAAGGGGTTACATAATGGGTGTCACTGGCCATACACAGAAAGGTTGTCAGTGAACTACCCTGCGTGCAGGGATATGGGCTGGGCTGCCTACTACACTTACGTCTCACAGAGCACCCCCATATCCTATTTACCCTGATGTGCCCCAGTTCCCCCAGCTGGGGGACTGGGAGAGATACACGCCCAAGGCCTAAGCCAAGGTCTTCCTACATTCAGAAGTTTAATAAAGTTGTGGCCTAATTTTAATTCCATATAACATGGTCAGAGTCTTTATTCCTTTCTTATGATCCCTGGGGATTGGGGCTGCCGCCACCTGATCACGCAATAACATCTCTTTTGCACAGATGGGAGACCTTATCAGGTGTTTGGGAATATTAAGTTGTGGGTGAACATATCAGACGACACAGCGATTCTTCAAACAGCTCTTGTTTATTCACAGGCCAGAACAGAACTAAACTGAAGGGTTCAGCCAGCCTGCTTATATAGAGCTCCACTACAACGCAACTGTAACACTTTCTGTAACTATCCAATCACTGAACGTCACTTTCAATCCCTTATTTGCATATGTGGACCTGAGTGAAAACTACCTACAGTATCCCCCTGCTGGCCCAGGGTGAAAATTTCAGTACATAACAGGGAACCATGATTATGGAGCAGGGAGGGGGGGAAATGCATCCATTCTTTCTTCCCGCTCATGACCTATGTGTGTTGATTTAAGAGTAGGTGAATAGTGCTTAGGTGGGTAGGCTCTATTCAGATGTTCAGATCAACATTTGAGAGTTGGGAAGAGATACAGTGGCTGCTACCCTGCTCCATTTCCAAATGTTTATCACCTACAGCTCATGCCAGCCCAGTAAGTGGCGAGGAAGGGAGAGAGGGAAGTTGGAAAAATGAATTTCTCTATAACCAGGCCTTGGGCTGACTGAACATTCTATGGCTTTTAAATGTGTTCATGGGAAGGAGGTTATTGGTTTGTTTTTTGTTCTTTTTTATTACGTATTTTGTGTTCTCATTTTGTGTTCTTATGCTTTGAATTGCCCTGTGAACTTTGGATAAAGGGTGCATTATACTATAAAAGAGAGGAAGGCAATTTTTTTTGTAGTGCTTACTTTCCTTAGTATAGTGTTCCCTGACGTTCTAGCACTTGAATGCCTGGAATGAATGGAATTGATTGTTTTTAAAAGTACATATCAGTCATACAGTTAAAACAGCACTCAAAGTCATACTCAGAAATTACAAAAAACAAAAACAAAAAAATGAACAGTAAAATCCATAAAATCATTCTACCATTATATCAAAAGAGAACCAACTTTCACAACTTCAAGCTGCATGTCTTTAAAGGAAAATTTCCAGAAAGCCTTGGCTGATTGGCAGAGATAGATGCTGGATTGCTGTGGGTAGGGAATGACCCGGGTGAGAGGTATCTGCCCACAGTCCAATAAAAGGAAAGCTTGGGGTTAACTGTTTCCAAGGGTGCTTAACTCTGAGCCTGATTGTGGCCATATCACCTTGTGGCACTAATTATTGAGCATTAATGAGAATAGGGACGCAGGTGGCACTGTGGGTTAAACCACAGAGCCTAGGACTTGCCGAGCAGAAGGTCAGTGGTTTGAATCCCCGTGACGGGGTGAGCTCCCGTTGCTCGGTCCCTGCTCCTGCCAACCTAGCAGTTCGAAAGCACGTCAAAGTGCAAGTGGATAAATAGGTACTGTTCCGACGGGAAGGTAAACGGCATTTCTGTGCACTGCTCTGATTCACCAGAAGCGGCTTAGTCATGCTGGCCACATGACCCGGAAGCTGTACGCCGGCTCCCTCGGCCAATAGAGTGAGATGAGCGCTGCAACCCCAGTCGGCCACGACTGGACCTTATGGTCAGGAGTCCCTTTACCTTTACCTTTAATGAGAATAGGGCATTGGGTGTCTTCACCTTCCTTGCTTACCTGGAGATGCAATAGGAAGGATCATGGCAGGTGCTCTGGTGGGGTGAAGCCACAGTACTGGGTTCCTGGCAACAAGGTTGCTGCCACTTACCTGGAACGTGAGGTAACAGGGATGCTGGCATGGTGTGGGTTCACTGGATTTGTTCCACCAGTGCATCTGCACCATGCGAACCTCCCCATCACCTTGTCCCTACCTGTTCCCTCCCTTCCAGGAAGCTAGTGTTGTGGCTTGTTGAGTGAGAAGCTTCTGGGTAGGGTACCCATTCATTCTTAGACATTTCAACAATGCCTAGGATAGAGTTTTCAAAGCAACAGCCCCCTCCCCTCATGCAGTGATGAATTAAGCTCTGGACTCAACCAGGCATTCTTCCTGTGCTTGATTTTATGAGACAGGAGGGACAGGGGTCAAGAGGGCACATGGTCAGAGGTATAGCTGCCAACACCTTTTCAACGCCAGCCAACTACAGAGGTAGAAACCAATCCCACATCACATCAAAAATGTTATTATAAAACTAGCCTGGGAAATTCCAGCAGAAAGGATCAGAAGTGGCAGCATCCACACAGGTGGGGTGGGGGGGACTAGCATCATGTGCATCAGAAGTGATATTATTATTTTTATAGAATCATAATTGGAAAGGACCCTGAGGATAATCTAGTTGTGGTCCAGCTCTCTGCAATGCAGGAATATGCAGCACTGTGAGACTGAAATAACTGAACACAAGTACATAGGAAGTACCTTTGAGCCAGATCATTGACCCATCTGGGAGAGGATTGTTTACAGCGACTGTCAGTGGCTCTTTTAGGATTTTAGACTGAGAGATGCAAGGAGCTTTCTGCATGCCAAGTGGTTGTTGTGCTACTGAGTTAGAAGCCCTCCCTCCACTAAAAGACCATATAACACCGGTCTTGAAAGACCTACACTGGCTTCCAGTACGTTTCCGAGCACAATTCAAAGTGTTGGTGCTGACCTTTAAAGCCCTAAATGGCCTCGGTCCAGTCTACCTGAAGGAGCGTCTCCACCCCCATCGTTCTGCCCAGACACTGAGGTTCAGCGCTGAAGGCCTTTTGGCAATTCCCTCGCTATGAGAAGCCAACTTACAGGGAACCAGGCAGAGGGCCTTCTCGGTAGTGGCACCCGCCCTGTGGAATGCCCTTCCACCAGATGTCAAAGAGAAAAATACCTACCAAACTTTTAGAAGACATCTGAAGGCAGCCCTGTTTAGGGAAGCTTTTAATGTTTAATAGGTTATTGTATTTTAGTGTTCTGTTGGAAGCCGCCCAGAGTGTCTGGGTAAACCCAGCCAGATGGGCGGGATGTAAATAATAAATTATTATTATTATTATATTATTATTATAAAATGTACCAGGCAAGTAGAATTATAGTATCAGAGAATTGTAGCGATGGACAGAACCTGAGGCTCACCTAGTGCAACCCCCTGCAATGCAGGATTTCTGCCCACAGCCATCCCTGGGTGGACTCGAACCACCAACCTTCTGGCTAACAGTCAGGCACACTAACCCATTGCACCACAGGAGTAAAGCTGTCTTCTTGTCACTTTTGGTTTCTTTTTTCTTGTTGCGTGTTTCTGCAAAATTGAAGTTTCGTTGGAGAGCAAAATAATAGGATTCATATTGGGGCTTCAATCAGCTACAGAGTTGTTCACAGATGACCTCCATACTAACCAGCCTATTTGACTTTAATGGAAAATTATCCACTTAAAAGAGAAATGAAAAGCAATATTCTGCTGACAGGTTTGGAAAATGATAATAATTCATTAAGCCAGAGGATGAATTAATTTAGTTGGAAACCTTCCCCACTACCACCACTTTAACTCAGGTGCTCAAGTTTATTTTTCAAGCCTAATAACAACTGTATGTGCAGCAATTGAGAGTTACAAATTGAGATGGTTGATTTTCTCCATAAGATTATATCCCTCTGCTCAATCTTCTCCTTCCAAACTCAACAAATTTGCACAATGCAACATAGATTTTACTTAATTTTGCCACCATTTTTTTCTGAAAGGGGAAGTTGAAGCCAATTGAAAGTCCTTTGGCAGGTGAAACAGCTCAAGCAATGTTGGGATACAACTTAAATAACTGTAGCAAAATTACTCCAGAAAATCTCTTAAACCACTATTTTTTAAAAAACAACCACCACCCTGTGTTTATTAGGCATCAGCATCACTTCTGTGGTGGCAAAATAGTGGAGCAAATTGGGGTGATTCAGGAGTCATTCTTCTTCCCAAGTTGAATTGCAATGTCAGTAACTCATATCCTCCTAGAAATTCATGGGAGTTTTGCACTGTAATTTCCCCACTATTTGTTAGGATCAAGGTGGGAGTCAGGAGCAGGTCAGCAAGATGGCAATGAAGTTAACTCTTTATTCAAAGGAAAAAACAGCTCAGGTCTGCCAGTAGGTCTTGCCCCCAATGAGACAGTTGTTGTGTGGACTGAAGGTTCCTGCCTTCCCACCACTCTCTAAGTCTCCTCCTCCTCCCCTGGGTTCTTCACAAGCAACCCGAGACTTCTTCACCTTCTCTATCTTTGCTCTGCCCTCTTCATACCTCTGCATGCTGTGGGAGGCCAAGGGGGAAGGGAACTGGTCACTGCAGGAGGGTAGGTCTCTCTTGCTTCTTAGGCACAGCCTGCCACATCTCTGCCTCTTGGCCCTCCTCCTCTCCAACTTTTGCCTCTGGACTGCTCTCGGCCACAGAAGAAGAAGAAGAAGAGGAGTTTGGATTTGATATCCCGCTTTATCACTACCCGAAGGAGTCTCAAAGCGGCTAAGATTCTCCTTTCCCTTCCTCCCCCACAACAAACACTCTGTGAGGTGAGTGGGGCTGAGAGACTTCAGAGAAGTGTAACTAGCCCAAGGTCACCCAGCAGCTGCATGTGGAAGAGCGGAGACGCGAACCTGGTTCCCCAGATTACGAAGCTACCGCTCTTAACCACTACACCACACTGGCTCTCTTCTGCACAGCCTCTTCCTGCTCACTAAACAATTTTAGCTCTTCAGCTTCCGACACTTCCTCCTCCCCAGTCTGCTCTCTCTTCTCCCTCTGACCACTCGTCAGTGTCCCACCACCAATCCCCTGGCTCTGAGCCTTCTTCTCTTGGGAATTCTCCATTTCTCTGCATCCATGACACTCACATCCTGTGATGAAATGTGGTGTGGTATGCTAGCATACAGTTCTTTCCCACCGTTTTAATGGGTGAATTATGGGGGAACGCTAAACCCAGCAGTAGGAATGGAATTTTGCATGACATGGTGGTATAGGTGGCAACCATTTCATGTGTGGGTTCCGTTCCTGGCCCCATGCACATCGGCAAAACATGTATAAGCATGCATAAGACTCGTTACACCCTGTTATGCTCTGTCCCCATTCCTCCCCCATTCTGCCTTCTTCTAGGTCCAAAAGGACCCTGACGTTGATGAATGTTTGTCAATTGGAAACACCTAAAATGGCCACAGCCTGTATTCTGATCAAAAAGCCACCATTCCATAGTACACAGTATACAGTGGTACCTCGGGTTAAGAACTTACTTTGTTCTGGTGGCCAGTTCTTAACCTGAAATTGTTCTTAACCTGAGGTACCACTTTAGCTAATGGGGCCTCCCACTGCCACTGTGCTGCTGCCACGCGATTTCTGTTCTCATCCTGAAGCAAAGTTCTTAACCTGAGGTACTATTTCTGGGTTAGCAGAGTCTGTAACCTGAAGCGTCTGTAACCTGAGGTACCACTGTAAAAGTAATATTAGAAACCGTGCATAAAAAACCCTTAATCTTCCTAATTAATACTTAATACCTAAATAAACCTAGACAGCATCTTAAAAAGCAGAGACATCACCTTGCCAACAAAGGTCCGTATAGTTAAAGCCATGGTTTTCCCAGTAGTGATGTATGGAAGTGAGAGCTGGACCATAAAGAAGGCTGATCGCCGAAGAATTGATGCTTTTGAATTATGGTGCTGGAGGAGACTCTTGAGAGTCCCATGGACTGCAAGAAGATCAAACGCATCAATTCTGAAGGAAATCAGCTCTGAGTGCTCACTGGAAGGACAGATCCTGAAGCTGAGGCTCCAATACTTTGGCCACCTCATGAGAAGAGAAGACTCCCTGGAAAAGACCCTGATGTTGGGAAAGATGGAAGGCACAAGAAGAAGGGGATGACAGAGGATGAGATGGTTGGACTGTGCTCTTGAAGCTACAAACATGAGTCTGACCAAACTGCGGGAGACAGTGGAAGACAGGAGTGCCTGGCATGCTCTGGTCCATGGGGTCACGAAGAGTCGGACACGACTAAACGACTAAACAACAACAACTTAAATAAACATTTTCTTTTTTCTTAATTCTTTTTTCTTTAATTTTTTTTGCAGTATGAGATTGTAAACTCTTTGTAAATTCTTTGTGTATCTGTGCAATTTAAATTAATAAAGTTTTTTTTTAAAAGTAATGTTAGAAGCCTAGACAGAAGCACTAGCATTATAAATTGTGTCCAACAGGGAAAACCAGTGCAATAACCCCCATGTCTGAATGCACCCCATGTGGTCATAATAAGTGTAGGCTTTAGGGGTGGGAGTTATGCTGTTAGAAACTCACAATGGGCAAACAGAGCCTATGGTCTATTAGATGCTCATACCTGTGTCAGCAAGAATCCTGAAAGTAGAACTGCAAACTCTCCGTCTTTCTTCCTAGAAAAGGTCCTGCCGAGCCACTGAGAATTCTCCCGATTTGTCTCCCTTCTCAGCAACTTCTTCAGTCTGGCAGCTGCCAGAGCTCAGAATGAGAGGCCAGGCTACTAATTTAAACACTGGGAAAAGAAACCACATTTACTTTTTGAGTGACAGATTGGATATTTATTACAAAATTGGATACCAACTGTCATGCTGAGATCCTGGATTTCTGATGTGAATCTGATATTGCTGTGAGGTGCCAAAATATCTCTGGGAGTTATATATGTCATTTCCTGGCCTCTCCCCCCCCCCACCTCCAATATACTAAAACAGCTCAAATATTGAATGTATAGCTTATGGTTTTTTCAGTAGAGGGGGAGAAATTCAGAAAATTTGGAGCAATTGCTCTGCAGATGAAATTTCTAAGGGCGCATTTGTTAACTAGGTAATGGAAGATAGTTACTGTTTTGCTGTTGCAGTTTTGTTACTTTTTGTAGTGTTTTATTGCAATGGCACAATAACTGTATTCATTCTTGTGGTTGAAAAAATGTGTTATCTTCATAACAATCATGACTGTTACATCATCATCATCATCATTAATGATAGTGATGCTGATAATGTTGATAATGTAGAGTTGTACACACACACACACACAAAACCTGGGAACCCAAAAACGCTGAATCCAGCCCCAGAACAATTTGTGGTGGGGCTAATGTTTAATTAAGGTTTCTAAACCCTAATTAAACATTTGCGGGGGGAGGGCAAGAAGGATACACTGCATTTCCTCCCTCCCTCCCTCCCTCCCTCTTGCTGAGCGCTCATTTGCAGCTGCCTTCACTACAGGGAAGACCCTCTCAAAGGAGCACCTAGAAGTTTGCAAAATTAGGAAAAAGAGGGAACATTTTATCACATGTGGCGGGAATGTTAAAAGGTGAAATGCTTCTGGGAGATGATATATAATGAATTGAAAAAAATGCTGAAATATACATTTATAAAGAAACCAGAAGCATTTCTCTTGGGTATTGTTGGAAACGATATAAATAAAAAGGAATGTAAGCTTTTTCTATATGCAGTAGCAGCAGCAAGAATACTTTTGGCCCAAAAATGGAAGCAAGGAGAATTACCAACGATGGTAGAATGGAGGATGAAATTAATGGAATATGCGGAATTTGATAAACTAACGGGAAGGATCCGAAACCGGCGGGACCAGAAGTTTACCGAGGACTGGAGTAAATTTATGGATTATTTGAAAAGTATTTGCGATGACCAGACGACGTTTGTAGGTTTGCAAGAAGCTCTGTGAGGAATAATATTAGAAATATGGCAAAAAAGAAGAAGGAGATGGGATATGTTAAAAATGTAAAGGCAATATTAAGTTAGGAAATGTGTAAGAAGTGAATAAGATGGAGGATTATCAGAGGTGCTGATGGAAGTCCAATAAGAATGTATTTGTGATAATTTGTGTGGTATGTTTTATAATTTTGTATATATATATATATATATATGTTTGCAAAATGCAATCCTGCTGGGTGCTGCTTCCCAAGTGCCTTCCCAGCTGCTCAGGAGAGGATTCAGCCATGATGGGGTCTGCACAGAGACCCCAGCGCGGTCTCTGTAGGGAACATGCTGATGAAGTAGACCCCTGCAGCCTGCTTCATAAACCGACAACACCAGACTGCATTGGGTAACCCAATCTGGGTTGCTCCAAGGCTCTCTCAACCCATCTCAGCCCAAGCCTGGATCCCAGAAAATTGACCTTCAGTTTGGGATTCATCAGAACAGGGTACACAGCCCTAGATATCCTCATGATCATGTTGATGATCTCCTTGACTAAGCTTCTACTTAGCGGCCCAGTTGTCCCACCAGGCTCATTAGCCACCACCGACCATTGCTAGGCATTATGGTGTCAGGGATTCCCGGTCCCCCAGCCTCACTTGCCTACACCATGAGTATCTGTGTCTAAGTTTATTTAATCATTTTCTGTGTTTGGTAGTTTTGGACATGAGGTGGAGTTCACCACTTGAGACAGTGGGAGGGCTGTCACATACTTGACAGGTCACAACATATAGCATTTGGCTTGGTGAGTCAGAAGTTCTGGTGAGTCAGAAGGTGTGGGCTTGTACTACATTTAAGGGATTGCAGTATTTCTTGATATTCTCAACTGTGATGCTGAAGGCAACATATATAAACTTTGGACAAACGTAGAAAATGAAAACAAGGTGCAGTAAAATGGCATTGACAAAAAGTGGATGGAATCATTGGTGGCCATACAATTGAAAATGTCACGGTCCGGTTCACAGGCGATCAAATTCCCAGCTGGGGACGTCGGGACCGGGGGCAAGATGACGTGGTCGAGGTAGGAACAGGTCCAGAAGCCAAGAGTCTGAGGGTCAGAGAGCCAGGAGTCAAGAAGCCAGGGTCTAAGGGTCAGGAAGCAAGGAGTCACGAAGTCAAGGGTCCAAGGATCAAGAAGCAAGGACTCAAGGAGCCAAACACAGCAAGGCAGGGAATGTGTTGCTGTGGCAAAGAGCTGAAGGGAAATGCTGACCTTATATCCCTTCCCGGTTCTTGCCACCAGGTGCTGTGAGTTACCAATCAGCCTCACCTGTGCAGCCTCACATTGCCTCTTCAGAACAAACTTAGGAAGGCCCCAGTCCTGCAAAGTCCTACTGGTCACAGGGCCTGGCTCCTGCATGCACTCCTGACAGAAAATCAAGCAGCAGAACACAAAACAATATAATGTGGGGGAAAGGAAATATCTTCTTTTAATGTTTTAATGAAATTTGGGTTGAGCTAAAGGTTATGTTGTTGCTACAGTGCTGAATTTGAACAACCCACTTTCCATTTTTAACACATATTTACCTCAGAATGAATGGTCTTGATAACAATCAAAAAATCAATAAGAAATCCAGTATTCAAAAAAAGAAAAGAAGAAATATAGGAAACATGCATAAGAACATAACTCACTGATGACATTTAATAAGTGTTTAAACCTTCAAGCTCCAGCCATTTCCAGCCCCATCACATAGTGGTTATAGACAGGTATACACTCTGACAGAACTCTAGAAAATTCAGAGGGGATGTCAGCTTCTCTCATTCATTGTAGGATCACTTATGGTTCCATCATATCCTGCATTATTCAAAACCCAGTACAGTCATACCTCGGGTTACAGACGCTTCAAGTTGCTTTTTTTTGGTTACGGACCTACCGAAACCTGGAAGTACCGGAATGGGTTACTTCTGGGTTTCGGGGGTCGCGCATGCACAGAAGCGCCGAATCGCAACCTGCGCGTGCGCAGATGCGCCACTGCGGGTTGCGAACGTGCATCCTGCATGGATCACGTGTTGATGTTTCACAACTTTGACCTGTGGCAGGACCATCAGTTGCAGGCACAATGGATGAAGCAGGAGCAAAACGCTGCTACTAGTAACTTGGTTACTTAGATGTGTTTATTATTTACAGCAGACTCTACAAGTTACTATATACGAGAACAGACACACGGATCTTTACTAGCTCTCTCTTAACAAACTCCAAATGACTCTCAGAACTCACACTGACCAACACACTCTCCAGTCAGTAAGGGTCATAAGACATTATGCCTGTGTGAGAACTTAGCCAATGGTAAAGCTGTTTCCAGGGTCTCATATCTCCAGGCAGATAACTCCTCTCTGCTCAGTCATCCTTGGCTGTCGGCCAACTCTTAATTGACGCTGTGTGAAACTGCACAGAATGGCACGTAGTTAAAAATCCCAACATCATGTCCGCAACCCGAGCGTCCACTGTAGTGACAATCAATGGATGTGGAGAGAGGATGGAGAAATGTAAACTATGATGATGTCACAATATAGGTAAGGGCACAATCCTGGTTCGACATCCACTGGGATGAGCAAGTTAGGATGTGACAGATCTATAGCTCAGCCAGTAGGTCCCCAGCTCAGTTTGGCAAAAATTTGGTCAGATAACTGGCTCTAAAAAAATGGCTAACCTATAAAAAATTATTAGAAGAATGTCATAATAATAAATTAAGATTAAAGAATTATGACACTTTAAAACAAATTGGCATAAGTTGGCTGCAATATTATCAACAGAATCTTTGAGCAAGAGAAAAGAAAAAAGGGGTTTGAGAAAATAATCTCTGATTTAGACTAAGAACTTCTCTCAAATAACAAAAAAGAATCTGTCTAAAATGTACAAATTATTATTAAAATTGCATCTTAAAGATGTAATGGTAAAATGGGCACAAGACCTGAGATATAATATAGAATTAGAAAAATGGGATAACCTCTGGAAAAATGATATCAGATTCACAGTCTGTTACATGATTAAAGAAAATTTTCTTAAAATGATGTACTGGTGGTATATGACTGCAGCAAAATTGGCTAAAATGAACAAAAAGATTAGTAACAAATACTGAAAATGTAATCAAAAAGAGGGGAGTCTTTTCCACATGTGGTGGAACATAAATATTTTTTAAAAGCCAGAATTATTTTTATTGGGAATTTTCACAACAGACATCCCAAAGGAAAATAAAAGAGTCTTTCTATACGCAATCATAGCCACAAGGATCATGACAGTGAAACAATGGAAATGTAATACAATTCCCACAAAAGAAGAATGGCTCTTAAAATTAAGTGAATATATAGAACTTGCCAAATTAATGGATCTAATAAGAAATTACTCAAAAGAAAGAACAAGGAGAGAATGGGCTGTCGTTACTAATTACATGGAAAAAGAAGGTTTCCAGAACATCACCTGGCTTAGCATAGATTAAATCCCACTGACAGTCAGACTGTCTCTCCAATTTACCATTCGAATACAGTTATCTGGAAAAAAATGATTTGCTAAGTATGTTCGTCGATAGCGGAAAGTCAAGATGCGAATAAAGGAGCCAAGCCAAAGCTGTTTTAAAAAGGCTTGAACTCCCTATGTAGAAGTTGATATGAAAATATTTATTTTTTTGAAGTTTGTTATCTATTATTTCATTTTCATTCTTTGTTTTGTTTCTTTTCTCTTTTTTATTCTTTACTTTTCTTTTTAGTTTTATTTATGTATATTTTATGTATTTATGTGTTTGCAACTAATAAAAATCTTAAAATAAAATAAAATAAATATAAACTAATGCTCTGTTCTCAAAAGGGGATTCCAAGAGGGCAGCGGGGGGGGGGGAATTAGTGTTTCTAATTAGTTGCAGGTCCTTTCTGTATTCAGTCCAGAAGAGCCAATCCCTTAGTTGACGTCTATTCAAGCTGAAAGCCGAACTCAGTTCTGAAAGAGATATGGTTTTCAGAGTTGGTTACCATCCGATTCCATATAGCGCAGAGCAGGAAAATGCTCAATAGCCATACCGTGGTACCTCGGGTTACAAACGCTTCGGGTTATGTGTTTTCAGGTTGCGGAGCGCAGGAAACCCGGAAGTACCGGAAAGGGTTACTTCCGGGTTTCGCCACTCGCACATGCGCAGAAGCGCCAAATCCCATCACGCGCGTGTGGAGTGTTGCGAATTCTCCGCGGCGCTTTAGCAGAAATGCTCAGAGTTCCAGGTTCTTCAGTGCAGTATATTTATTGTGAGCTATATATACAAATATCTACAGGCTCTAATACACGAGCAGTTCATACAGTCAAACAGAGTACCTGGCTGCACCTTAAGGCAAATAGGAAGACCTTTCTATCTCTCTCTCTCTGACCACACTCCTCTACACCAACCCCTTACTACTGAATGTTACCCTTTTAAACCGATGACAGCCAATCAACTGACAGCACGTTACTGCTGAATCTTTCTGACCCAGCACTTCCATAGAAAGTATTGCAGGCTGACTGCATCAGCCAGTTGCAGCAGCTAGCAAACTCAAGCCTGCAGACTTACTATCTCACACAGCATTCTGTGAATCCCAACACGCAGATGCAGCACTGCAGGTTACGAATGCTGCGGGTTGCAGATGTGCCTCCATCATGGATTACATCCGCAACCCGAGGTTCTACTGTAATAGCATTTTAATATATATATATATATATTAAAATGCTATTACAGTTGTGCCCCGCAAGACGAATGCCTCGCAAGACGGAAAACCCGCTAGACGAAAGGGTTTTCCGCTTTTGAGTTGCTTCGCAGGACGAACTTCCCTATGGGCTTGCTTCGCAAGACGAAAATGTCTTGCGAGTCTTGAGATTTTTTTTTTCTCGCTTCCCCCCCCTTTTTCTAAGCCGCTAAGACGCTAATAGCCTTTTAGCAGCTAATCCGCTAAGCCGATAAGCCTTTAATAGCCGCTAAACCGCTAATAGTGCTAATCCATTAAGCTGCTAATAGGGTTGCTTCGCAAGACAAAAAAACCGCTAGACGAAGACACTCGCGGAACGGATTAATTTCGTCTTGCGAGGCACCACTGTACAGTAGAACCTCGGGTTCTACTGTATATATATATATATACACTGAATATATATATATATATATATTCACTGAGCACAGTCCCCTCTTGCTGGCCACCCAGATTCTGTACAATGAAGAGCTTTACACCATCTTAACTGAAGATGGCTTGAATTATGCTGGTTTCCCATAGCTATGATTGTTTCCTAAGTGTGCTAATAAAATATATGGATAACGGGAAGACATGATATAGGGGGTGTAGATCTCTACGACTGTCATTCTGCTGCCAGGGATGGAGGAGGAATCGGTTTAAAATGGATTTATACATGAAAATTTGTGGTTCTGATGCAATCAAGTTTTGCACACATTCGTTTGTCGTCACATTGAGTGCCTGTTTATGTCTGAGCTGCATTGCCTGGGTTCTTGTTATTAAGTTAAAAAACTCTCAACTAATTACATTCAAAATTATATGCAAATAAATTACATATATGTGTAATACTTATCAAGGAATCAAGTCCCAGGCTGTACTATATTTCTACAGTGTTATATTATAAATATATTAATACACTTTTTTAGAGTTTCTCTCTGTTTATGCACTGGTTAGTTTAGGAAATCTGGTGTGCATATGCATATAATCAGTGCCAGATTTATGTATATAGCTAAACAAGCTATAGCTTAGGGCCCCACTCTCTTGGGGGCGCCCAAATAAATTTAGAGGGGGGGAACTGGATGTACATTTCCAAAATATCAGATAAAAGAACAAATAAAATAAAACCTACATACAGCAACAGTGTTGTGTTGTGTAGGCTCCTATGATTTAAGTCAGGCATTGGCAAACTCAGCCCTCCAGATGTTTTTGGACTACAACTCCCATCATCCCTGACCACTGGTCCTGTTAGCGAGGAATAATGTGAGTTGTAGTCCCAAAACATCTGGAGGACGGAGTTTGCCTATGCCTGATTTAAGTAATGGGCCCCACCTGCTCCCTAAAATATCACTGGTTTTAGATACCTATTAGCTCCATAAATTACAGTGGTGCCCCGCAAGACGAATGCCTCGCAAGACGAAAAACTCGCTAGACGAAAGGGTTTTGCGTTTTTTGAGTTGTTCCGCAAGACGAATTTCCCTATGGGCTTGCTTCGCAAGACGAAATGTCTTGCGAGTTCTTGCGAGTTTGTTTCCTTTTTCTTAAAGCCGCTAAGCCGTTAATAGCCGCTAAGCCGCTAAGCCGCCAATAGCCGTGCTTCGCAACACGAAAAAACCGCAAGACAAAGAGACTCGCGGAACAGATTAATTTCGTCTTGCGAGGCACCACTGTACCATATAGCATATATTCAACACAATAAACAGCCACAATTTGTTGTTGACAAAGGACAGCTGGGCATATACCTTTAGTAGTTTAGGGCATCATCAAACCTAAATCCAGCCCTGCATATAATTGTTCATATTTTCAACAGAACTGGGAGGGTTCGTTGCTTGTCAGAATGAAGGATTGAGATGAGACCTAAGAAAAATATATATGCAGATACTCAAAAGCCGGCAGGCAGCAGCACTGCCTCCGAGACAGAAGCAGTCTAGCTCTGCACTGCACAACCAGCCAGCCAGCCAGGAACCCTTTTTGGGGTGCAGCGGCGTTTACCTGTTCGTTTGAAAATGTCTGTACAGGGGGAAGAGAAAGGGTTAAAATGTAGACCAATAGGAAAGCCGGAGGTGGAGCCTACCTGTTTATAAAAGGGCTTAGCCCGAGGTTTGGGGTGTGGGTAGTTGGCTGGTTTTAATGGGTTGGTTGATTGGGAAAGGCAGTTGGAAAAGCAGTTGGCAGGCAGTTGGAAATAGAGAGACAGTTAGGGCAGTGGGTTCTTGTGTGAGGAGAGATATACCCGAAGGAGGGTCTCCACCTCCATCTTTCTGCCCAGACACTGAAGACCAGTGCTGAGGGCCTTCTGGCAGTTCCCTCGCTGCAAGAAGCCAAGTTACAGGGAACCAGGGAGAGGGCCTTCTTGGTAGCGGCACCCGCCCTGTGGAACGCCCTCCCACCAGATGTCAAAGAGAAAAATAACTACCAAACTTTTAGCAGACATCTGAAGGCAGCCCTGTTTAGGGAAGCTTTTAATGTTTAATAGGTTATTGCATTTTAGTGTTTTGTTGGAAGCTGCCCAGAGTGGCTGGGGAAATCCAGCCAGATAGGCGGGGTATAAATAATAAATTATTATTATTGTTGTTGTTATAGAGACAGGAAAAAATAAGACTAAGAAGGTAAAGAGTAACAACATTTGGAATGCAGTTAAAGTTTGTGTCTGCACTAAACTACATTTTTCTTTGTTAACTTGAGAACCTGACTGAGACTAAGTGATTTACCGGGGAGGACCTGGCTGGTGCGAGCGGATTAGTGGTGTACAGTTCAATAGTCTGTGAGATGACCGGGAGCTCTGTATGAACGCCACAGGGGGCTCGGATGTGGAAGCAGTGCATCCCTGCCTCTGAGCCCGAGGCCCTCACTGCAGAATAGGGTGCCCTGCTGTCTGCAGAGAGGAAGAGGGAGCTTCCACCGCCAGCCGCCACAATGCAGATGTGCGATGTGACATACACATGCCTTCACGTTGTAGCCTTTCAGACCTTTTCCATGGGTTGGGTGAGCGTTGCTCCCAGGAGGGAGGAAGGAGTCAATAGACACCGAGGGTTGCTTCAGAGAAAGAGTTTATTCCTGCTCTCCGGAGCAGCAGAAAGGCACTGCGTGACTGTTCACAGCAAGCGCACTTAGAGAGCAATTACATACAGCTTATATCCCTTTTAGGTCCCCTTCCCCCCTCCCCAGGAATCCAGCCTCGTGTGTGTTTGTACATGTAAGTTTACATCCTTGAGCCTCCTTGAGCATGAACAGACCTTCCTGTTCCTGTACTCTTATCTTGGAGTAGAAAGGTCACCCATCTATAGGAGTACTCCTTACTCCTGGCACCATCCCCGGGCTGACAGGCCTGTCTTGCAAGGTCTGTGCATCATCGTGGTCAGGATATTTACAACCGGTAAGATAAGACCATCCCATCTCTGCTAGGAACTAACAAGGCCATCCATTATGCCTTCAGGAACTGATAAAGGAGAAGGCTTTGTTTATACAGCTGGTTTGTGTTATACAGCTCAAGCTAATGGATTTTAGCTAATTATCGAAGAAGAAAGAATTAGGGAATTTTGGGGCTGGGGCCCGGTTTGGGTGACTGCATACTGAACAGTCAGGTTTGGGTAACCTGTTCCTTCAACGTAATGTGTGTGACGTCACACATACTATGTGCTGGCATGTGCATGTGAAGTTGCACATCCATGTTGTGGCAGCAGGCACCCTCAATCCTGAGGGTGAGTTGGCCCTCCTGGTTGGAAGTGAACCTAAAGAACATCTATTCCAACCACCTGCAATTCAGGAAAAGACAGCTGTCTCACACAGGGATCAAACTGGCAACCTTGCCGTTATCAGAACCGTGCTCTAACCAACCGAGCTGTAAATCCTCCTGCATCTTATACTTAATCTTTCTATCAGTCCATGGTTAGGCCTCAGCCCAGGCGCATATTGTAGAATATCTTGAATCTGAAACCCATGTGTTCTTTAAAAATGTTAAGCAAATATGGAGTTCTTCAGATTTTATTGGTGTGGGAAAATACACTTTAATTAAAGTTTCTAAAGTTGTAGGGGGTGGAAATCCCAGCAAGTATATCAAATGTACTTTTGCAAATGTAGCCCTAAGGACAAGTCTAATTACTTTCTTTCCCACCGTTTTCATCTTTCTGTTTGTTTTGTTGATAATGTTCCACCATCTGATGACATTAACAGAGAGCAAGCCTAGTGACTCATTCCATGGCTCAGCTAGGGAGCCTGATGCTGTTCAGAATAGAGGGGGGTGTCTCTCTCTCTCTCTCTCTCTCTCTCTCTCTCTCTCTCTCTGTGTGTGTGTGTGTGTGTGATAGATTATCTATGCTATTCTGCTGGAACTCCCACTGTGGCAATCCTTGTTGTGCACCCACAAGAAAAAATCAAATAATACACTAGACCAGAGATTCCCAACTTCTGTATTCTTGAGACACCTCTGTTGTGCCAGATTACCAGTTGGTTGAAACTAATATTTGCAAATTCTCCACATTTTTATCCATTTAGTTAGTCTACTAGGAGCTACAAGGAGCTACTGGGTATGATTCCATGGTCGGAAATACTCAGTGAGAAGGGAGCCCAAGAAGGAGGGGAGTTTCTAAAAGGAGAAATATTGAAGGCCCAAATGCAGACATTAACAACAAGAAAGAAAAGTGGGAGGCATCTCAGGAAACCTGTGTGGCTGCATAAGGAGCTTACAGATGAGCTGAGAGTTAAGCAGGGCATGTATAAGAAATGGAAGAAAGGGGAAATCACAAAGGAGGAGTATACACAAGTAGTCAACACTTGCAAGTGGGAAAGTCAGGCTGGCTAAAGCTCAGAATGAGTTTAGGCTTGCAAGAGAGGTTAAAAATAATAAAAAGGTTTATTTGGCTATGTCCGAAGTAAGAGGAGGAACAAGCAAGTGGCCGTTCCTTTGTGTGGGGAACATAAAGAAATGCTATTGGGTGACAGAGAAAAGTCAGAACTACTCAACACTACTTTGCCTCTGTTTTCACCCCAAAGTGACGCCCAACCTGGTGATAACAGTACAAATGATGTAAGGAGGGAGCTGTAGCCTAAAATAGGAAAAGAGGCCGTAAGGGGACACCTAGCTACTTTAAATGAATTCAAATTTCCAGGGCCTGATGAGCTGCATCCAAGGGTACTAAAGGAGCTTGCGGAGGTAATTTCAGAGACTTTGTCTATTATCTTTGAGAATTCTTGGAGAACAGGTGAGGTCCCTATGGACTGGAGGCAGGCAAATGTTGTCCCTATCTTCAAAAGGGGGGAAAGGAAGACGCAGGTAACTATCGACTGGTGAGCTTGACATCAATACCAGGGAAGGTCTTAGAACAGATAATTCAACAGTCGGTCTGTGAGCATTTAAAAAAGGATGTTGTGATTACTAAAACCCAGCATGGGTTTCTCAAAAATAAGTCATGCCAGACCAATCTGATTTCCTTTTTTCCCCCTTTCAAAACTGCTTCCCACCCCAATCCCTTATTGATTACTATATAAAAATTATACATTAAAGTAGACAAATAATACAGTGGTAACTCAGGTTAAGAACTTAATTTGTTCTGGAGGTCCGTTCTTAACCTGAAACTGTTCTTAACCTGAGGTACCACTTTAGCTAATGGGGCCTCTCGCTACCACCGCTTTGCCACCACACGATTTCTGTTCTCACCCTGAAGCAAAGTTCTTAACCCGAGGTACTATTTTTATTTCTGGGTTAGCGGAGTATGTAACCTGAAGCCTCTGTAACCTGAAGCATCTGTAACCTGAGGTACCACTGTAACTTACATAAAGGATCAATAAATGTGTCACCCATTGTCTATAAACCTTTATCATAATCACATGTCAGATTTTCTTTTGTGAATGAAATACAATGGTTTCAACAATAGCCAATAATCAAATGTAGAGCTTGGGGTACATTAAAAAAGGCATAGGGAAAGCAACTATTTGAGGATAATTGCTCAGAAGAAAAGAGGCTTTTCAGGAAATACAATTGACACAAACAATGAAGATTTCTTCATCCCGCTTGTAGGTAGGATATCTTATTCTTTCCATAGTCTATTTCTTTTGCTATCCCTAAGGATTTAGAAATATAGGGAATCAGGTCATGGTTAGATTAATTTTTAAAGATTGTCCTCAAGGCCACCTTAGATGCTTTGAGGTAAATTTCTAGAAACCATTCCCTGATTATTTCCCCTCTTCTTCCCTAGGTTTTGAAGTCTCCAAAGACTCAGTAGGCTGCTGGTCTCCTGCTGCTGTGAACAGAGGGAGGAGGTTGATGTGATCAAAAATGAGAAGAAGGTGGTAAAAATAAGACAAATATATGTAAGACCATATGACCAGGGGATGGATGCCACCATGTGCTTCTACCAACGGGGAGTGCTGATCTTTGTTCATGAAGAACAGAGAGATCAGAGAGAATCTGGATCACAGGGGTGGGGAGGCAGCTCCCTAATTCAAGAAGAGTTCAGGGATGGGATGAGGAAGGGAGAATAACGTAAGCCACCTTGAGATCGTGGCAGAAAGATGGGTTATCAACATAATAATAAATGGAAATACTAAGAATTGTTTCTCTTCTTTTCTCTGGACTCCCCCCGCCTTTGCCCAGTTCCCCTTCAAAAGAAAATTAAATTAATATATATTTTAAATTGTTATTATAATAAACTTCATTTACAAACATGAGCGTTTTCGATCATGATTTTGTGGGCATGGGTGGGAATCCGGGGCCTCGCTTCAGGAGTCTACAGTTTGGCTCCTTCCCTTGTGGGTACTTGCCCCAAAATGGAAAGAAGAAGTAGTCCCAGTGAAAGAAGAATGGATACCAAATCTTATGGAAGATAGAGAAATGGCAAAACCTTCCGGATAATAAGAAATCAAGATAACAAATTATTTATAAAAGAATGGAAATGGTTTATTGAATATTTACAAATAAACTGTAAACACTGTAATAACCTGAAGTTTTATAAGAGCAAATGAATAAATGAGTAAATTAAGTTAATTTGGATGTGCAGAAAATATTAAACATAAATTTAAGGAACCATGGGAAAAGGCGGAAGGAAGTCGAGTTCTGAAATGTTAAAATGATTGTAAAATTATTGAAATGTATAAAACTGAAATTCCTAAATAAAATATAAAGAAGGGATAGGATAGATTCCAGGTATATTACTTTTGTAACTTAAGTCTGCCTTCTGGGATCTATCTGTGAACAGAATGTGAGTGAGTAAACTCTTTTTATACTTTTATAGAAGACTGTGTCATGTCTATTTCTTTTATGAGGGACTAAAGGGGAAATTACCAGATAACTTATTTTAGAGGCTTTAGCGAGCCTGAGCAAATGCATCCACTGTGTAAGTTTACAAAGGGGAATGCTACTCTGCTAAATTGTAGAACTTGTTAACACAAGTTGGAAAGGATATAATCAAACAATATATCCTTTCCCGCATCCCTGAACATTCCCACAAAGAGTATTCATTAATGGTTCCTCATCATCCTGGAAAAAAAGTGGCCAGTAGTGTGTCACAGGGTCCTGTCCTGGGCCTGTTATTGTTCAACGTCTTTATAAATCATTTGGGTGAAAGAATTGAGGGGATGCTTATCAAATTTGCAGGTGGCACTAAACTGGGAGGGGTAGCTAATGCCGCAGAAGACAGAATCAGAATTAAAAATGACATTAACAGATTGAAGAACTGGATGAAAGCCAACAAAATGAATGTCAACAGGGATAAATGTAAGGTTCTGCACCTAGGCAGGAAGAACCAGATTCCCTAATATAGGATGGGGGACACCTGGCTTCCTAGCAGTACCTGTGAAAAGAATCTAAGGGTCTTGATGGACCACAAGCTTCACATGCGTCAACAGTGTGATGCAGAAGCAAAAAAAGCTAGCACTATTCTAGGCTGCTTCAACAGAAGTATAGTGTCAAGGGAAGTAGTAGTACCACTCGATTCTGCTTTGGTCAGACTACACCTAGACTAATGTGTCCAATTGCAGGAGGTTGGACTAGCTTACCATTGGGGTTCCTTGCAACTCTAAGATTCTGTGATTCTATGAAATGGATCTGGATCAATGACAGCCATCCGCCAGTGTCATATTTAAAACTGCTTCCCACCCCAGCCCCTAACTGATTACTATATATAAATAATACATTAAAGTAGACAAATAATAACTTACAATAAACTTGTCACCCATTGCCTATAAACCTTTAAGATAACCACATGCCAGATTTTCATTTCTGAATGAAATAAAATGGTTTCAAACAGTTTTTAATAATCAAGAATCAAATGTAGAGCTTGGGGTACATTGAAACAAGGCTTAGATCAACTCCCCAGATGTTCAGTGTCCAGGGGTTCAGTGCCTGGCACCCAGAAACTCAAGACAAAGGGGAGTCTGGCACCCACAAACTCATAACATTTCACTCCCTTGCAACCTAAGGAAAGCTGTTTATTGGCAGAGCACATTGGGCAGAAACAGAAAGAAACAGGGGGATGAGAAGGTAGAAGGGTGAAGTCCTGCTCCTGTCCATAATACTAGACAGATTACTACAGGGTGTTGAGAGAGGTTATTTTTAACTCTTAAGTGAGAAACAGCATCCATAGTCTAGGCCAGAAGTGTTTTCCTTTGGTGACCCCTCCATGTTGAAAAGTGTGTGTGTTTGTGTGCATTTCCTGTCCTTTCCAGAAAATCACGGTGTTACATGAAAAGGGGTCTAGAACTTTTTTTAATGAATTAAATAAAACTGCTTAACCCACTAAAAGATACATTTTAAAATGTATATTAAGGGGAGGGATGCCCATTGTTCCATTGTTAAGCGAGGTAGCTAAAGTAATGGTGTCATGTCCTCTGCTGTGACATGTCCCCCTGCTGAGTGACTTGGCTCAGGACTTTGGGAAGAGCAACTATTTGAGGATAGTTAGTCCAGGCGAGAGGAGCTAGTTTTTGCAACAACAAAAAACCTCAGGGCCACCTTAGATGCTTTGAGGGAAGTGGCTTGCCTTCTCCCTTGTGGGCATCATCACAAGAAGGGAATCTCCCAGTTTTGGAGGATCTTTTGACAAGATGCACTCTCCATGAGAGGTTTCTGAAAGCAAGTTTAGCTGCCTGGTGCCCCCAATGCAGTGTAGAGATAGAAAGTGTTGAGGAAATAACTCTAATCCATTACCTGACCTTCTTTTCTTCCCTAGATTTCAAAGGCTGTGCAGGCTGCAGGCCTCCTTCTGTGACCCACCAAAACATGATGCCCTGGTCTAGGAGGAGGAGGAGGAGGAGGAGGAATTAGTGGCTGTGCCTCCCAAAAAAGGGAACTGGTAGTCAAAATCAGAGTAATCCATGTTTGACGCAAGGCTCAGGGGATGGATGTCACTAAGGTAAGAGATCACCTGTGTTCATGAGAAACAGTGAGGCCAGAGAGAATCTGGCTCTCTGGGGAGGAAGGAGGCAGATCACTGATTCAAGAAGACTTCAGGGACATCTCTTTTGAAGCAGAGAGAGAACCATTTCTCTTTACTTCTGTCCTTTTCCATTATGGTGTAGTGCCCACTGCAGTCTCTCAGGTTTGCAGGTGTGCCCATCGGTTCAAAGGGTTGGCAACCCAAGTTAGACTGCTGGACCAGGACTGGGGGACCAGGGTTCAAATCCCCCCTCACCCATAGAACTGAATGGGTGGCCTTGGGTGCTCACTGCCTCTAGGCCTACCTCACGGAGCTGTTGTGAGGATGGGATGAGGGGAGGGGACTCACGTAAGCCACCCTGAGATCCTTGCAGGGAAAAGGGGATGTCAATGGAATAATAAATGCATAGTGAATGAGAAAAATAAGAATCTTTTCTTTTTTCTTCCAGGCAGAAAACAATAGGCAGCATCAATAGGAAGTCCAGCATCTCCAGTCCAGCTCCCCTCCAAAAAGACCCATTTTCCCCCTTCCCCACAATCCAAAATATACAAATAAATACATAAGTTACACCTGCTTGCTACTTGGATATATTTTTCTTTGATTCTAATAAAGGTCCTATTACAAACATGCCACTCCTGGGTCATGACCTTATCTTTAGAAGTGATTTTTTTCAACCATTGTGAGCATGGAAGGAAATCCTGGGTCTTGCTGCAGGAGTCAACAGTTTGGCTCCTTCCCTTGTGGTCTTGTTGCTCCTAGATGGAAGGAAGTGTGCATGTGTGAAGACAGAGTTTGGGTGGGGTGAGAAATTCCATTCAGTTTGTGCATTTTAAAGCAGGCCTATCCCATAGGCACATTCTGGAACGATATTGTGAGAGGCCATTCCAACGTCTGTTGAGGGGTGTGAGGTTCTAGGGGTCTTGGCACTTAACCAGGCTTTGTGCTTCCTTGCAATGAGGCACAACAGCCAATGATATTGTTTTTGGTTGGCACGCTTATTTATGGTATGAAAAGGTGAAAGTACATAAAGGATTTATAAATCATGTAATGAGGGAAAATTTGTATAGATTATGGAATAAATAAACAAATCCATTAGAGGCAAAAACACCACTTTGGCTCTCACCATTGTAAATTATAATGGTTAAGAAAAAGAATATGATCAAAGGTCTGGAAACCAAGCCTAATGAGGAACGGTTGAGGGAGTTGAGTATGTTTAATGTTTATGATGTTTTAATGCATTTGAAAGCTTTTGTTGGAAGCCACCCAGAGTGGCTGGGGGAAACCCAGCCAGATGGGCGGGTATAAATAATAAATTATTATTATTATTATTATTATTATTATTATTATTATTATTAACCTGGAAAAGAGGAGACTGAGGTGGAATCTCCACACATGTTAAAAACATTGTGAAAATGCTTTTTTAAAAAATTTCCTTTGTAAAATGCACTGAATTTGCTATAGCTCACAGTGTCACAATTGTATATTGCACTTTACAATACATTCAGAACATTTTATTTGCAGCTGTACAGCTGAGTCCTGAGAGGAGATATGATAGGCATCTTCCAATATCTTAAGGGTTGTCCCATGGAGGATGGAGCAAGCTTGTTTCTCCTGCTCTAGAGGGTAGGATCCAAAGTGATGTCTTCAGGTTAGAAAAGAGATTCCAACTACACATCAGGAAGAATTTTCTGACAGTTAAAACTGTTCAACAGAGGAATGAACTCCCTCGGAAGGTGCTGGACTCCAAATAAGGGAGGTTTTTAACTTAGATAAAAAGATCGGTTTCCAGGAGGAAAAATCTAAACTGGAAACGGAATTGTTAGAACCTAAGGCTAAGAATTTGTCAAGAATGTATAATCTGCTGTTGAAATGGAATACACAGGATGAAATGGTTAAATCTGCAATGATTAAATGGGCGCAAGATGTTGGGCATAATATTATGTTTGCTGACTGGGAACGGTTATGGACCACAGGTATGAAATTTACGGCCTGTAACGCCTTAAGAGAAAATATAATGAAAATGATTTACAGGTGGTACTTAACCCCAGTCAAGCTAGCAAAAATTTATCATCTGCCTGATAATAAATGTTGGAAATGTAAAGAAAATGAAGGTACATTCTTTCACCTTTGGTGGACGTGCCCAAAGATCAAGGCCTTCTGGGAAATGATATATAATGAATTAAAAAAGGTATTGAAATATACTTTCTTGAAGAAACCAGAGGCCTTCCTCTTGGGCATGGTTGGGCAATTGGTGCGAAGGGAAGACAGGAATTTCTTTATGTATGCGACAGCAGCGGCAAGAATACTTATTGGGAAATACTGGAAGACACAAGAATTGCCTACCCGAGAAGAATGGCAGAGAAAAGTGATAGACTATATGGAACTGGCTGAGATGACCGGCAGAATTCGAGATCAAGAAGAAGGGTCGATGGAAGAAGATTGGAAAAAATTTAAAATATATCTTCAGAAATACTGTAATATAAAAGAATGTTAGAAAAGGTTGGAGAAGAATATTAGACCGTATTGGCAGACAGAGTATAATGGAATAAGTAAATACGAAGTGTAAAATAAAGATAGAGGAGAATTAAATACTTTCGAATGTTAAAATAAGTAAATGAAAAGAAGGTTAGAAAGATTTGCTGGAGATACGATTCAAATTAGAATACAAAGCAGAGAAGTAAGAGGAAGTCACGGAAATAAGTAAATGGGAAAACGGTTCTAATGGTTTAATTTGATTTTTTGTTACTGCTTTATTGTGATTTTTTGTCTTTTGTATTTTTCTTTGTACTGTGTGTTTTTTTTGTAGGATGTATGTGATTTGTTTTTCCTTTTTTCCTTTTTTCTTTTTTTGTAATCTTAAAATTGGAATAAATATTCTTTAAAAAAAAAGGAAGGTGCTGGACTCTCCCTCCTTGGAGGTTTTAAAGCAGAGGTTGCATGGCCATCTGTCATGGATGCTTTTGTTGGGATCCCTGCATTGCAGGGGGTTGGACTAGATGACTGTACTGGTCCCTTCCAACGCTACAATTCTTGGATTCACAGCATATTTCACACACCGAATGGGAGACGTTTTTGTCTCAGCACTAATTATAGTGAGTATTCTCTGATGCTGGAGATTAAAAGAAAATAAAGCAGCTAGAAAAAGTAATTAGTCTCCATGGGTAATTCTTTACAGTGAAGGACTATCTCATCATCCTCATTTTAATCCTAGGAAAACCTCAAAAAAGCCTTTAGGGTCATTGTTTGGCTCAGATGTGTAGAACTATAGCAAACAGCATGAGTCCACATGGTCCCCAGGTGAACCACATCTGCACAACAGTGTTCCAGGTCTCTGAAGCCCATATCAAGAAATGACTGGGGGTTTCCAGACCCTCCACTCCTCTGGTTGTTTGTTTTTTAAAAGCACACTGCAGCAAGACCTTAAGGCTTCAGATCCTGGTATAACACAATGGGAATCATAGCTCTCCTGATGTTGTCAGACTTCAACGCCCATCAGCCCCAACCAGCATTGTCAATGAAGGGTGATGGGAGGCATAAGCCAATGACATCTGCAGGGCCACAGGTCCCCAATCTACATGGCGAATCTCCCATTACCATGTGCCAAAGAAGAAGAAAGAAGAAGACCATGTGCCAGAGCTGAAGGACAAAATGTTTGTTTTCTGATCTTTCAAATTATGACCCGGAAGACTGGGAATTTGCGACAGACTCATGCACTCCCTCTCTCCTCACTTCCACACTCAGATTTTACTGCTGACTTTCTCAGTCTGGCAAACTATGCCTTACAATTAACATCCAAACTGGGAAGTCCCTCTTTCCCCAGTCCCACAACAAATGTTCTGTAGAAGGGCCATGTCTTTGCGCCATGGAAAATCAGGCAGCCATGCATATATTAACCTGCTGTATCTTCATGGTGAGGGAATAGGGAGAGTGCCTCCGACATTGATGTGACTGAATCTGAGCATGTGAGGCAATCGGAACCTTCCCAAAGTAGACGAGAGACAGTGGGTGCAGTCTTCCTTTAGCTTTTCATCAAGTAATGATATCCACTGCTACTTTATTTAGAAGATAACTTCACATGATTATGAATTTAAAATATCCATATTCTGCTTTTCTCCCCAACAGCAGGCCTCCAAGGTAGCTGGCAATAAGAGGAAATTAATTCATCAAAAGCAAAACCAAAATGTACAATGTCAGTGGTGACTAATGAAGGCATATGAGGTGGAAAGTGTTATTAAATGTTCTTAGTCCAGACCTTAAATGGGCAACCTTTTTCTGTTGAGGGCCACATTCCCTCAAGAATAATTTAAAGTAATAATTTGCTGGGAGCCACATACTACTCTTTCCCCCCTCCTTTTGCCATCTCCGTCTCTCTTTCTCTATTCTTCCTGCCATCTCCTTCTCTCTTTCTTTTTGACATCCCTTTCCTACCTCTTTCCACCCATATGAGATCAGGTCCTGCAGAGAGGGACGAAGAGTTACTTTGCTGTTCTCATCAAGTGCCTTTTGCCTCCCATGGATTGTTTCTCCTCAGTGGGAACTGCCACATTCATCTTGCAGTTTCATTTGGTGAAATTTGATGTTGGCAATTCTACCCAGAACAATTAGAAAAAGCAAGTCTTCAGGCAAGTTTTCAAAGCATACCTCTTACAAATCAGGGTGAAATGAAAGGTGTGATTATCACTTACAGAAACAGTAGTTACAGGCTTTAGAATTTGATTCATATGACAAAATAAAAGTCCTATGAGTCACTATTAAATCCAGCATGAAACAGGGAAGAGAAGCACAATGAAATTAAATGAATTTAGAATTGGGAGATTATTATTGGCAACTCTGTATCTCTATTGCTAATACATTCCTAGGTTGCATAAAAATAAGAAAAAGAACACCCTCTCATTCAGAGACAAAATGAATAATAATGGAGAGGTCATTTTAAGGATCTGGGATTAATTTTGAAGCTGAGGGACATGGAATATCCTGGGGTTCCTCTTGGCTCCTGCAGCTGATGGCCAAATTTTCTATGTGCTCTATCACACCACATAAAAGTCACTTCTGGAAATGGAGCAGAAGTTTAACGTTCATTTCTGTGTTAATTTTTTCCCCATTAACTTGGAAAATCATGAAGTACACATGGAGGAGAGAACATGCTTGTTTTCTCCTGCTCTGGAGGGTAGGACTCAAACTAATAATAATAATAATAATAATAATTTATTATTTGTACCCTGCCCATCTGGCTGGGTTTTCCCAGCCACTCTGGGTGGCTTCCAACAAAGATTAAAAATACATTAAAATGTCAAACATTAAAAACTTCCCTGAACAGGGCTGCCTTCAGATGTCTTCTAAATGTCAGGTAGTTGTTTATTTCTTTGACATCTGATGGGAGGGCGTTCCACAGGGCGGGTGCCACTACCGAGAAGGGCGTCTGCCTGGTTCCTTGTAGCTTTGCTTCTCACAATGAGGGAACCGCCAGAAGGCCCTCAGCGTCTGGGCAGAACGATGGGGGTGGAGATACTCCTTCAGGTCTTCAAGTTGCAAGAAA